TACACCTGTTCTGCTCCCCACTCTGTCTCTGGTGAATCCTCTCACCCCACAACACCCACCACACCTCTTGCCTGTACTGCAGTTCTTGTATGTATAAATAAATAAAATCTTTAAAAAAGAAAAAACTGACACAAGGGACAAGACACTTCAAGAAGTGGTGTTATTTCTACCCTCCGAGAAACTGCGGATGAACAGGAAGGTCCCAGGCCTGTTTACGAGCAGAGTTTGAAAGTCCTGTCCTGTTTCAGCCACCTCTAGTTATTTACAGCTATTTGCCTGGGTGGCTGGTCTGGTTTCTGTTCACACAGATACAATAGCTTGCACAGACACATTTGCCCCAGAAACACGCTTCTCACAGGACACAACTTGAGTCTATTCACTGGATCTGCAGATTTAGAAAATGAACCTTTTCAGGCCCTGCTTTGTAGTCTGAATGTTCTCTTGCATGCTCTCTGAAGTGCATTCTCCTTGGGCAGGGAGATGAATACATCATTTTCTAAAATGGAAAAAAATATCACAATCTTAAATATTTGGTGAACCTTTTGCAGGGCCCACACTTCACTGGCATGCAGAACTATCTCCTGAAAGCTCAAGTTAGCAGTGTGGCTCTGAACTAACTGACCGGAAGCCAGTCCTTCTGCAGTCTAACTTTGCCCTTGGCCGTCTACCTGCTACTTTAGCAGGATCTGGGGGTCTCTACTTATCACTTTGCACATGCTCCTTAGGTAGCGACCTGGGAGACTTTATGGACTATGACCCAAATCTCCTGGACGACCCCCAGTGGCCTTGTGGCAAGCACAAACGAGTTCTGATCTTTCCTTCATACATGGTGAGTAGTGCGTTGATGCAATCAGTGTGCTCACTCCTGTCTCTGGTAGCTTAGGGGTGCTTGCCTTAACAGAGGGGGGCGGCTCTGCCTTGAGGGCTGGGGGCAGGGGCTTGTCCAAGCACTGTGGAGCCTGGGGACTCACTTGAGGACCCCCCAGGAAGGCCCGGCAAGTGCTTCCATCCAGAATTCTGCTGGTCACCTGGTAGCCTGCACCTACCACTTCAGCTACCAGCTCGGGGCCAGAGGCCCCCTCCCCCCACTTTTGAGGGGGTGTGCCCTCACTTATCACCACAGACTCTCCAGAGAGGACCAGGCCCATCACTAGCAGTGCTTGATTCAAATTCAGCTCTATTTGGTGATGGGCCATAGCACGCACCCTGAGCAAACATTTGGCACCAGGCTCTGTATGACTGAATTATCTTCTGGGAAAGTGAAAGTAGGACAATGTGGGTGTTAAATGCAAAACCTTCCCTTGCTGTTTTTACTTCATGGACTTTTCCTGTTTTTCCTTTGTGAAATTTTGGTTTTTGCTTTTGGCCAACCCACCATTTCCCACCATTCCGGATGGCTGTTTGTCCAGACATCAGTGGGTTCTCACAGGGTCCTGGTACTTTTTCAGGTAGACGCAGCCAGCCTCAGAGGCAGGCTGAGCCTGGGCTGCTAAGGGTGGCTGGGTGTGACGCTGGCTTCTTGGGGAAATCTGTGTGCCAGGTACACCACGCACAGCGCCCAGTGGGAGAGCCCTGACCCAGGATGCCCTCGCTGCCTCCTGCGAGGCCAGGCTGGGGCAAGCACAGCCAAACATCCTGCCTCTAATCCTCTTGCTCCTGTCCAGCCTGTGCTGTTCTCAGAAACCCAAGTCTTGGGAGTCAATTGGGGGTTCTTTTTTTGTTTTAAACTATTGTATCTACAGAAGCCAGAGTGGGACCCAGCACCAGGAGCCTGAATACTCCTGGGAACGTAGCATTCTCAGCAGCAGGCTGCCACCCTCCAATGTCCTTCCTCACTGAACATTTGGCAGGTAGCTGACATGAGACAAACACTAGGCAGAATTCAGGCCCTTGACAATTACTTTCAACTTCTATCTCCTTGGGATCATTCTAGTATGTCACTTGGGATCAGAATGAGTTACCAGAGAGCAGTAGTTGAAAACCTCCCCTGCTCCTTGCTCTTCTATCCTTATTCCCCAACTCCCAACACAGAAAGAAAATCCAGAACCAGCTCTATCTTTTTCACTCTATGTTCTGTTAGCTTATTCACTTCCTTTTAAAAGGGGCTTTTTAAAAAAATTCTCAAAGGACTTCTTCGTATCCGTAGCTCCTAATAGTGTTAAATGACCAGAACCATTGCCCTGATGTTAGGACAGAGCAACTTAAAGGCAGAGACTTAGGTAGGGACTCTTCACGGCTTTACTCATTAAAGCTCACTTTATTTATTGCGTAATGTGGGCGGGAAACTCTGGCATCGGGAGTTGGAGTGAGGCCATCATGTTGACAGACAGGAAGTGTCGGGGGGAGGCAAAGCCCGAAACCCTGGCTCAGTGCTCTTCCCATTTGGCCCCCGAATTCCTTATCCCTCAGCACTCAATGGGAGAAATGCCAGCCTCAGGTAAGACCTCAAAATGATTCTTTGGACCATCAGTTCAACAAATTTCTAGGTAACTAAGAGAATAAGAAAGTGCAATGTTGTTGATAGAATTTGCAGTTTGGTGGAGAGTTCTATACACGTCTGTCTGGTGACAACACTGACCTCTCAACTCATGGGCCTGTTGTTGGACTGGTGCCAGGTCTGGTTTTTGTTGTTTGTTTGTTTGTTAGTTTTTTTCTTTAAATGATTTTATTGTGAGTAGCAAGGCTTTTAATTTTTGGAGTCTTCATGAACAAACCTGCACACGTGGCTAATTTTTCCTTCTTGGACAGTGTACTGTGCCAAGTCAGCATATATGTCCTAACCTCCTTGTTTTATGTTCCTAAGTGGGTCATTTTTCATTTCACCACACTAAATCTGCAGCCTGTGTGTCTTATAATAGGCCATTTTTTTAGAGTGAAATTGCTCATGGAATGCATCTATCTGCCTATGCTCCTCCATAAGACCTAAAGCTCCTGTTCTGGCCACAGGTGTTGGTACTTTGATAAAATGTGGGCCATCCACTTTTCAGCATTCAAATCTAAGTCACTGGTGTGCCCATCATGAGGTAGCACCTCGATAGCCTCCTCTCCACAAGCCAGTGTGGATTACAAGGCTGTTTGACATGTATTTTGCATTGCACTTGCAGGATCAAGAATATGGTGGGTGGGGGAGGTTGGATGTGATCTGGCGATGCCAGCCATCATCCCATTGTTTACCAGGGTTAATTCAGTCGATCTGGCTAGGTTAGGTTTGCCTGTTCTGGAAGTTCATATTTCTTCCTCCTATTTTCTTCTTCCCCACATCTTAATAGCTCATATTTCAGGTATCAGAGTTTGGTTTTTTAATTCATGAGTAGGATCCATTGTATTGTTGTGCCATGCCATTGTCTTTATAGAGATATTTGGGTTTTTCCACTTTCAGGATATTGTAAGTAATGTTCCTATGGACATTCTTGTACAAGTCTCTTTGTGGGCATAAGTTTTCACTTCACTTGGGTAGATACCTAGGAAGCGGCTTTCTGAGTCATAATGTAGGTGACAGTCAACATCTACTTGGGTGCATGTTCTTGCTCATGGTAGTGCTAAGTATAAGATAAAAAGGCTACTTTTACCACAGTTAGGACATGCCTTTAAAAAGAGGGAGTGCTCGGCCCTCCCTGGTGGCGCAGCGGGTTAAAGCACAGCACTGAGAATCTAAAGCCGAATCTGCATGAGTT